CCCCCCCCAAAAAAAGTGCCTTCAAGTTACGAAATGAAACATGACCGCGCCTCGTCACCCACTATGTAATTTTGAGCTCACAGTCAGATTAGGTTTTTTTTTATAAAGTTTTCATTAAATTTGAAAATCTCAAGCACTTGTGTGCTTGTGACGTCACTGTGTGGTTCAAATCTCGGCCGATTTTGACGAATATTTTGCACGAAAATCCTTTAGTAATCCGCCCTTCTACTCCCATATTTTTTTATGTTCACTCAAACGAGATGGAGGCTAATTCGATAACCTCGTGGCTCTATTAGCCACCATGCACAAACTATATGCCATTGTCACCTTTAATTGTTATATATGTATCTCGTTTTTCTTTTTTATGCTAATATTGTAATTTCAAAATGTAAGTACAAAATAAAGTGAAGTTGAAGTTGAAGTTGAAGCTGAAAATTTCCTTGTAAAGATCTACTCATTCAAAGCATAAAATTGTGGATCCCCTTTTACATGATATAGTTCACCACCTCTCGTATGGTTGAAACTTTTTTCTGCAATAAATATGTCTCCAATGAGAGCTCAGGAATGGGTGGAATCTTTTTCCTACAATAATTATGGATCTCCGGTGCATTTGTTACAAAATTAAATTAACTATTCATCGAAGGCTTTAAAGCAAGGTATCGTTTCGGGATCTACCTACTACACATAAGGATTTTGATTTTCAATTCGACTTTTCGTTTTCTTTTCAAACCATCGTTTGTCCCGACGGTAATCATTTCCTTAGTGGCTGTTGATCTGATTTCTGGAATACACAGATTAATAGCTTTTTATTCATACATGGATACAGGGGATCTATTTATTAAATTGGAAAAAAGGTCTGGGTAATTTAGAACTGAAAGGGTTGACAAGATCTTGCGTTTTAATAGATTCAAACAGAGGTTGAGTCATAGACAACTGAAATATAAAATTTTATAGTGTGTTATTCCATAGTTCTATTTCTCAAGAAATGTAATACAATGAAAGGTTCCTCAGGAGCGCATGAAATGCAAAAAACACAATTGAATATGATTTCTAGTAGATATCGTTGTTAAATAGTGACGCCTCCACGCGACATTATAGCCCCATCCCTTCACCCACCCCCTGAAAAGATGTATATGATAAGAGTAAAAAGTGATTAGTTATATCAAAATTAGTTGAAGAGCATTGTCTAGATACTTGCATGTGTTATTCTTAATGAAACGCTTCGCGAAGAAAGATGTATTTGTTGATTTCAAAACCGCACGGAACCAAAAAGATCCAACGTTGAGTGCTTATCGTGAAAACAGTCATAAAAATAAATACATTCGCGGTACATTTCCGCCGGTTTTGAGAATCTGAACTTGCACTTTTCGTTGATCATTCAATCAATAGTTGGACGCAGTCAAGCGAAGACAAGATAGAAATGAAATAAAAAAAGAGGATACTGGTATATCAGTACACTTTCTTGACTTATATCGCTAAGCCGTACCCCTCGCTAGTGACCGCAAATCCTTACAGCTATCAACAAGGATCCACAGTAGTCACTGAAAGCAACAAAAAAGGATTCCTGGCTCAAAGAGCCAAGATGTTCAACATGTTATTTGTAGCCAAAATTGACTTGTAGTCGTTAACGAGAAGTCTCTTCCATGGAACGACATACCAAGCCATTCCTCAGAGACCGGGACAGAGCTTAGAGGAGGAAACCCGTGAACCAAACGTAAGGACACTAGAGTCTTAAATCAGGTATGCAAAACATTCTTTCATCAGTTATGTAACAACTGTCCACATATGACCGT